AAAAGCTGCCCCGGGGCCGGGCAAAAAGGAAAAACACTCATGAAAAAAAAAAAAAAAAAAAAAAAAAAGTGCGCTTTGATAGCACACCTGAAAGGCACAATTAGAGAGAATTCCCTGGGTGTGAAATTTGAGTTGAAGTGACAGCCGTGGAGCAAACACAGGAAGGTAAGCCAACTAGACAAAAAAAAGGGGGAAATTGTTGGAAAGCTAATCCCTTCTGAACAACTATATTTTTTTTGAATGTTGAAAATCTGAAGGGGTCCAAAATCCCATTGCCAATCACTTATCTGAAATACACCACAAGTACATGCATCACGGATGGATAAGAAATTTCACGCACAGCTTAATAATAATAATAATGAAAAATCAAGTTGAAGAAAATAATCCTGACTGTTGAGAATCAAAGTAAAAGTAGGTTCAAAAACTCCAGAAATCTGTGATATTTGCAATTACAGGTTCTATAGTTCAGGAAAGTACATTCAAATTGAGCCAAACCGGTCATTAAATGTGTCCTTGGTTAAGGGTCTCAGGCAAAATGCAAGTTGGAATCCACTGCTCACGAGAAATGATGCACGTAATTGTATTTTGGCACAAAAACACCCCAGGCTACGTAGTACATCTCAAGCATTCAACTTGGATTCTGACAAAAAAAGAGGAAATTCCAATTCCAGACTTTGTACACGTACGGTGTTTTTCAATTTTCAATGGCACGAGTGTGAAGTAAAAAAACGAGGAAATCAGCTGATCCGAGGAAACATTCACGCCTGACATCGGTTCGATCATGGAAAAACACCAGTCCGTGCAGGTCAAATATGTACGCATGTGATCAGTGTTCACAGACTGTAACATCAATTTACTCACAATTGGAGAAGGGACGACAATCCAGCAAAGGTGTTCTGCCGCAATGACGTTATCTGGTTGTTACTAAGATCCCTAGGGAGAAAAGACAATTGAAAAAAGTATAACTTATTAAGTCATAACCCCATGGCTGCGTGTCTTCGTGTCAATGTGCGTCCTTCCAAACTGTTCAGAAAATACATGTGCTACTGTGCACAGTGCATGTACATGTGCAGTAGGTTGAAACTTGGGAATTCAAGTTAAAAAAATTGACACTCGGGAATTGTCAATAATATGTCTTTTCACTCGCCCAACAAACATGTCCGCATGTAATTCACACGTTTACAGTCATTTGAAAAGAATGTACATGTACAGAAGAACTTGACCCCGGTAATTTGTCCCAGCTGGCACCTTTTTGGGGGGGGGGGGCAGGGGAGAGAAAGCAATGAATATCCTACTCATTGTTTATGCAACCAGGGCTTGGGGCTCAAGGTGTGCATGTTGACACAAGCTGGGGATGGCAGGGCATCCTGCAAAGCACGAAGCACTCAACACCGGGGCCGTACTGGCAGGTTCCTTCCATTCCTTTGTGCACTGGGCATTAATACTACAGGGCTTAGGGTCGGGCATTGCTTTGTGGAGTGTGTGGGAACTTAAACTTGAGGCCTCCCATGAAACTGGTGTCCTGTACCACGGATCTTTGACATGTACATGTACATGTACGCTTGCAGTGAGTCCAAACTAGATCCAAAAGTGACTTCACAAATTGAGAAAATGCACATTAGGCAATGAAATTTGACGTATTGTTTATTGTCAGGGGTTTCTTAAATGTTGATGCGTTTTTTTTCCGTAATTCATTATTTTCTATCAAGGAAAAATAATACCCTTTTCACACGCATAAAAAAGCCATTGGGTGCACCACTAGGCTGACAAGGTGCCCACGGGCATTCAAGCTTCAGATTTCTTGTGTTCTGATGACTGGGATTGCCAGAATGCAACTTTCGATGTTGGGAATGGGATTTTCTGTCAAGTTCCACTGTTTTTTTTTCCAAAAATAATGAACAATGAAATTTTTGATGCAGGGCCAAATCACATGCGGGCGCTGACGAGAAACAATAACTCTACATTTAACAGCCTTTGGTGAAGTGTACTGAGCTAAATGTAAATGTACGTGTACATATATACTGGTATAATGTACATTACATGTACGTAAGATGGGCTGGTGTATTTGTGCTCTGTGTGAACCAACATGAATAGGTACTGCATGTGCCCAGTACACTGTACATGTACATGTGCGCTGCACTCCTTAACACACAAATGGAGATACAGGTTACAGGTTACCTTACCTTGTAAACAACAGACATACATGTTCACATACACATTCAGGTCAGAGATTTGAAACAAGTTGCTCTATACATCTGAAACACAGTGCGTAACGACTGTTGGTTTGGCAATTTATATTTTGCTGAAAAGTGAGAGAGTCAGGCCCCGCTTGTAATGAAGTACGTGTATGCCATACACCCATAAAGTTTAACACACTACATGTACATGTACATGTATGTACATGTACATTTGTTGTGTACTCAAATATCCCTCTTTTTAATGTACAATTCTACACATGTATGTTTTCCATCGTTAGGGGAAGAAAAGCAGAACACTTGAACATGTGTTAACAACCCTCGTTGAGTTTGCTTTTTCCTGTAAGCTCTATAAAGCCAAATGGTCTCATAAGTTCTGCCAAACTGGACAGATGATACAGCCATCACGCGATAAAGTTACCGGTCTCAAACACCCGTGCAGACATCAATCTCAAGTCTACTATTTCCTCATTTCACGGCAGCCGCCCACACGACTCGCGTTTCTCCGGATTGCATTTCGCGGTTCCCATTTCGGCAACTTCAATGCCACATTTCTGAGGGCACGGTGACTCTCCCCCCTCCCACAAGGATAAAGTGGATGGATTGAAACCACCCTGGGGAACGGAAGGGGCTAAATTTAACATTTGAGAGATTTGGTGTCATCCTCTTTATCATTAACAATGAAAATAAAAACCAGATGAATGCTAAGCATGCGGAACAGAATATCAAATGAACCATTATTTTCAATTACAATATCCCAAGTAAGAGGAATGCGCTTGAGGATAGACAAGGCTTGAAATAAGATGTCCAAATCTAAACTACCATGAAGTCTGTTAACCCTAACAGTCCCGAATGCTACAAAGTACTACTTAGTAGTAAAATGTAGTACTCAGCCCTGTCGCTTGTAAGAGGACATAACATTAATTTTCTCTGAAGCCATAAAATACAATAGAGAAGACAATGTACCACAAAGTGCTGTGGCACCATGGATGCATGGTTTCATTGTTCTCTGTACGAGTAGCAACGGAATAAACCTAGCCAGAAATAGTAATTTGTAGCGCTAGGTCCTTCAGGCTCAGAGTGTTACTTAGTATTTTGTAGTACTGAGTACTCTAAGCCAAACAACGCCCGGTACTGTTAGGGTTAAAAAGCACAACATTACACTGTACATTTCTTAATACCTTGAAATGTACCTTTATAATTACAATTATTAAAAGAAATCCTACATGTGCTAATGAAAACCGGAAAAAAGGACCCGCATACCATTCTTGCAACTAATTCTACAATGAAAAATGTAAAACATTAAATGTATTCACCACAGGCTTGGGCTTGTGTGAGCTCTGCACAATAACAATACCATCAACAAATCCCTGATAAAATTTGGCCAAAGTACAGCGTAATTATGTTGGTATTTCGTTTGTTATATATGGCAAAACAACTCAAGTGCACACAGACAGCTTATATGCAGACAGAGACAATGTACATAAATCTATGTTTGAACAGACGAGCCAGCCGCCACCGCCGTTTTTCATGAAACCCTTCAATGATACTTTCTTCTGGATGAGACAGTGAGCAAGTGATGTTATCATTTTGACGAGAGGTTATTTTGAAATCATACATGTATGCCCTGACATCCTGCGATTGAAGTAACTAGAAGATTCATCCTGATCTCTTCAGGCCTGGTCAAGTGCTCTTGCGAGGTCAACAGGGGATTTATTAATCAGATAGTCACAAACACAACCAGTAGAAGGAGCAACATTTATTTTGATCATATTTACACAAGACGCTCATTTATCACTTGGTACACATCCCGGATATCCACAATCTCGAGGATAAACATGCATACCACTGGCAGTACATGTACATGTACATGTATGCTTGCCAAATTGACATGGACCTATGCAAAGACAAATCACATTTATCAATAAGGCAAAGTGTAATCATTATAACCGTACACATGTGTACCCCCACACCGTATACATACACACTATGTACATGGATGAACATGGCCATAAATGCACACACATGGCATGCAGCGTGATGTACATGAAGCACTATGTACATATACATGTACATAACAGTACGCAGAGATGAAAGATTCAGGTTAATAATACAAATAATATTGATTTTTAAATTTCATTTGCATGTACCGGGTTGCCCATACCTGTAAATACATGTAAGTTAATTAGGTACATGTACATGCCAGTGCATTGTACGGAGTGTGGCCTCACACAATTCTCTTTCACATCAGCAGGTGATTACTGGTGGTTGTTGGGCATACCATAGAGCTACCTATGGGCATACAGTGCTACTAGTACAGTGAATCCACTATGTGGATTCAAAAATCATAAGAACGCCCGTGGTCCTGATTGTATACAATGTACGCACATACACACGGACACGTGGCATCTGCAAATACTTCTACAGGCCAAATTGAGCATTCCTTAAAGCTGAGGCCACGATTCCTTTTTGCAATGTACATGTATCTCTGTGACTGGTAATAACTTGGCTTACATGAAAAGAAAAGAAAAGAAAAGAAAAGAAAAGAAAAGAAAAGAAAAGAAAAGAAAAGAAAAGAAAAGGAAAGAAAAGAAAAGAAAAGAAAAGAGGGGAAACATGGTTTGACCATGAGAACTGTGAGGAAAAGATCGGTAAATTTACGGAGCCATTTAAACTTGAAGCGGAGAAAACTTAAAAGGTTCTTGGGAAAACAGCCTTGGGGAATGAGAGGAAGACACTTGGAGGAGGGGGAGGGGTAGAATTTCTAGAAATGAAGTGTTGTTTCTCAGGTTTGTTTTGTTCGAGGAATGGTACACCTCACACTGTGAGCAGAGACACTGCGCTTCTGATGTGTCAGTGATGGGCATCCTAGTAAGAAAACGAGTGCGCTAGGAGATCAGCATAGCGGAACATGTACATGTACGTAATTGTGTACAAACATGTACAATGTATATCCTTACGACTGAGTCTGCTGACCGGAGACTTTGGATGGATCGGGACAGATCAAGGCCCATCACTAAGCTAAGCTTGTAAACTGATACATACATGTATATAATGTACACTGTACATGTACCTTGTGGAAGATGTACTGCAGAATGCCAACTTGTACAGAGAATGTACATGTACCATTGGTTTCTTATGCAGCGGCAGGTACGGGTGAAATCAAGACAAATCCCTGGCCAAAATAAGTTAAGTTCTCTCCAACCACAAATTTAGCATCATCTGTTGGATGTGGGGCAATAATATGTGACCGGTTCTAGAAAAATGGGGAATAAGTCACCGGATTGAACTAATTCAGGTTAGGAGTTTTTGATATGGCTGGATTCTGTACTGTACATCAAAAGCAACAATTTATATGCATGACCCCTGTAGTAAGCTGCGTTCTGGAGATACCGGTATATAGATATTTATCCACATTTTCGGATTCAATACAAGCACTATTCAAGAAAAAGCTCATAAAGTGTAGCACTTGGAAACACAATGCTATGTAGGATTTCCTACTGAATGATCAATTTTTCATCTTTATTTTTCAGTATCCATGTTTGTAGTCACAAATTCTGAAAATACAAATATTATAGCAGCTATTTATTACGGAAAAAACACAAAAATCACATATTTGAAAAAATTTTCCCCTCTCCAAATAGAATGGGCCATTACGTGTTTTGGCTTGGTGCGACTTACATGTAATACCCTTTTTTGCAGAGCGGGTAACATATTCTCTTGGCAAACGATGCATCATCACGCACAAAGCCGAGGAGCGATAGCGTTTGGTTGCACTGAGGGTTCCTTGCAATATACACTCGACCTTTTACTCGCAATATCTAAAACTGTCACCACTATTTCATATTTAAAGGGCCATTTTATTAAAATACCAACGCTGACAGGACAACATGGCGATTTGGACACCCCAGACCGGAACGTGGCTGTTGATTTGACTGGCAATTTATCATGAAAAGACGAATTTGTCACCAAGATAAAAATGATGGCTCTTCCTCCATCAGGCACAACTACTGTGGCAGGTTTGAGTGCCTCTGGTAATTCAAATGAGTCACTCCTTCAATGTATGTACACTACTCTAGGTTGCCTTCAAGGTTAAAAACTGCCGTTAACAGTGATTCATGGGTGCACACTGAGAAGAAAGATTGAAGTGGTGGGCAGCGGGTTGTCTATAAAAATGCAGAAGATAAGAATTCAATCAGACTCAAGCCAGCAAAGTGTTCACCTTCAGTAAACAATGGTCCACCTGCATGCATAGCGGTACATTCCGTAATCAGTGTTACAGAATTTACAACAGATTTAGAACAGATGCATTATGAGGGGGGTACACAGATGTAAATAGCACGTACCATATGGAATTTACATACGCGTACAGTGCACAAACATTGATTCTGTGAATGCACAGCCAACTCTGCCCTGAATTCCTGGACTGCGGGGCCACAAATGTGATATAAAAACCCCTGATATTCACCAGGTTTTTTTGTGAATGCACAGCTAACTCTGCCCTGAATTCCTGGACTGAGGGCCACAAATGTGATTTTAAAATCCCTGAAATTCAGCAGGTTTTTTTTTTCTGGCAGGAGAATTCAACTCCAATTTTAAAACTCAGTTCTAACCGGTAGGTCAAGTTCCTCATCCGTTTGATTAAGGAACTGGACAACAGAATAGAGCCAGGCACCAGTAGTGTACATGTCAATATGATCTCTGTATCCCTTCAAGTGTGTATACACTGGGCGCAGGTGTAGAGCTCCTATGCATGAATGTGGGCCTTTGGCCTACAGTGCATACATGTAGTCACCGACCATACTCCATAGGTCTTTGTTCATGCCAGCAACTGGGACTTTATTGGGAGTGACAAAGCACATGAATTGCAAGCATGCATCACTCTCTAATTCTGTGTAGATAAACAACTGTAGGCCTCTGTGCATTGGAGTAAATCCCAGATGCTGAACCAGTTCACCATTCCGAATCTTCAAGCAATTAACCCTCGATGATTAAATATGCATGGGATATGACAAACTCAACATGATGCATCTGGAACATACCTTACCCGAAAAATGAAAGTGGGACGCTTCATAAATTATTTCTTGGGCCTTAATCACTCTGAATGAAATTACAGGATTATAACAGTGAGGTGGAGCAGGCCAACACTGGTGTGCGGCCCAAGAGAATTGGTGTGGGATCACAGCAAGACCCATGACTCAGCACTGGCCCCTGAGGCAGAAGGCAAGATGGAAGGGCGGGCCCCAGTCATTGGTACATCTCAAGAAAGGCAATAAGGTGGAAAATGGCGACAAAAATGAAATTAGGAGATGGAAACAGGTGCTGAATGCACACAGACCTAGATCATAATGTACATGTAAGTGTGCAGGTGCGTGCCTTTTGGGGGGGGGACCTAATTTACATACATTGTACATGCAATAAGCCTTCAGCGAGATCAATTTGAATAAAATCTGGTACACTGAGTAATAACAATTTGAATTCCCCAGAACCCTTCTTTGGTTTTACATCACAAATGCCCACAGTCACTGGTGAGCATGTGTTTTCTATATATTGAATTCAGACATGCACAGGTTCAGCGTGTACACAGTAGGTTGTCGGCACAAAATGACCCAGGGTCTTTTGTGCAGTCCTCTTCACTGCATTTGGTTTACTGCACAATTATGCACATGAAACAGTGAAGCTCAATTGTTGGGCAGCACAAAAGTGCAATCTGATATTCCTGTGAGGGACAGTTGGTGCAGTGCACAACACCACACAGCTGTGCTTCTTAGAGGTGTTAGCCAAGTGACCCAAAGAGTGACTTCAGCATAGGAGGGTTAAAGACACATTGCTATACATCTACCCCGTAATTCAGGGCAAGCTTTTGCATCGTGACCACCATTTCTAGAATGGACTGGTTCCTTTGTGCCCTCCTTGTCCATTAAGAACAGTGTATTGTTGCAAGGCATTTCTTATGTAACTAAGCAAAAGCTTGCCCCAAATCATGCAGTATAGCAACAGTGGTTTTAGTATGGGAATATTCAAATTACCTGTATGCTCACGTGAATTGAAAGAACTCAGTGTACCAGATTTTGTTCAAATTCAACTCGCAAAAGGCTTATTACACCCGCAAAATTGTACCGCTGATATTGACACATGTACGGAACATGTACGTATGTATGACGTAAATGGGCTCTGGGGCTTTTTCGAATCCAGTGCAAGCAAATGATACCAAGAACCACTGGCCATTTATGTCACGTCCTCATTTCTATTAACTCAAACTTCCTATCCTCCATGTAGGCATTTTGCAAAGATCCTTTCCCAAACTTTAAAAATCCACCAATGAGCAAGAAACCAAAAGGCATGGGACTTTTTGTACAAACTGTCTAAAGGCATTCATCTCAATGGAGAACAGACGGATGGCACATGTCCAACTCATTCAGTTTTCTGAATTTCTGGGCGGACCTTGGAAAATTGAGGAATGTGAGGTTTGTATAATCACAGACTAAGGTACATGTATGGTATAATCTTATCTTGCTAATCTTCCCGGTACCTCTGGTTTTGCCTACACGTCAGGTGCGATAATCACCCATAGACAAGCCAACAATGTCTTGCACCAGTTCAGAGGCTGTCCCTAGCTCAACTCATTGTGAGCGTCCAACTTTTTTGCCGGATCTTCACTTTAGGGTGTCCTTCGGTGGATCAACAGGGAGGATAAAGGCAGCTGAGGCGGAGTTTTTTCCCCCTGGACAACAAACATGTCAACCATCCCTTTGTCCCCAAATCAATAACCCCGGAGGATAATGGGGCGAATTCAAGGCATTTTCCTGGTGCGCGGGCCCCTTCTGTGAGGAGGCTGAAAAAGAGTAAAGTGTCTAGATTTGTTGGGGAAGGGGAACTTTCCATGGAGCACAAACCCAAACATGAATGAGGTAGGGGGACAGATTACAGCTTCTCTAATTTGATGATTAACCCTAACACTCCTCAGTCCTCCAACAGGTGAAGGATTGAGGAGGGTTAGGGTTAACGATGTCGATCACAGTGAAACAGGTCCGTGCATGTTCCCACACAGCATCAGCTCATGAATTTTGCTGAACATACCCTGTACAAACTATCCTAACATATTGAAGAAAAAAATGGATTTTCACATTATTAACCCTAACACTCCTCAGTCCTCCAACAGGGGAACGATTGAGGAGTGTTAGGGTTAATCAGAAAATAAGAAGTAGGGAATTGCACAGGTGTACATCCATGTATATCTATACATTCATATTTCTTACAAATAAATGGCTCAATGTTATACCAACGTGTGGTGGGTGTAAAAAACTTGGGGGAAAAAAACAAACAAGCAATGAACTCTGTCAATGAGTTGGCCTTATAAATTGAAAGCAAAGTTAACTCGTCATTTTTGAACTTGAGAGCATCAGTGAATAAAAGGAAATTTTTTTAACTACCTGTCTACTCTGATGAATAAATTGAAATCTGTGATAAAAATTTATTTGTGTTTATGCAAGACTGACAAAAAAAGGAAAAGGAGGCTTGGAACCCACACTCTGACTTTCTTACTGACCAATTAAATGTGCATGATACATGTATATGAACAGGTAATGCTGGGGTTTTTTGGTAGTCAAAGCTCTCCACATGCACCAAAAATTACATAGTTTACTTGCCACTCATATAAAATAATATACGTGGTGGAAATTAAGTGGTCCTTGCTCTGCTAAAAAAAACAAAAAACAAAGAAAAAGAAAAGTGTTTTCAATCAAAGACAGCATCAAATGAACAACTTAAGAGATGGCTAAGGAAATCACTATCGCGCCACAGGGCAAACAACCCGTCAAAATCCAATAATTCTGTACTTACAGCTGTACTGTGTCCTTTGGAACAGTTGTGGGATCGATGGGTGCCTTCAGCCCCCGCCCACTGCAGACAACCTCCCTCCGACTGGGCCGCCTCCCCTCCCGGCCACGCCCTTCCCTGTCGCCACGCCGGCTCACCAGGTTGCAGGTGCAGCTGGAGGGGCAGGCGTCGACCCCAAGCGACCCCAGGGTGGAGATAACAAGGAGGGCAAAGATCAGGAGGAGCCCGAGGGCGTGGGCCAGTTGGAAGGGCTGATGGAACCGGCAAGGAGTAGTGGTCATGGCGAGGCTCGACAGCAATGCAACTTAAAAGAATTCATGCAAGGAAAAATGGCCCCCGAAAGGTCGGTGAACTTCTGCGTCATCCAAATATTGGTAGTTTACACCGGCGAGATGGAAGACATTGCCACTCTGAATCACTCAGAACTCCAGGATTCATCAGCATGCCTTGGTTTATCGCCCGGCAGTGCTTATTGATAAAACTCTCACATGAATCCTGCTAGTACCGAACAGCTGTCAAAATGTGCATGTCGTGAATGCACACCATATCCAAATATAAACTCCAATATGAAGTCCAAAACTGTGGACACAAATACATATTCCATTTGCAGAGGCTTCCGTTCAGTTAAGCTGGCCGAGTTCCACTGAAATGGATTCTTCAATTCATATCTTCAGGAGGATGGACTCTGCGGCAGTAAAAAGTAGAGTTGAACAACTTATTTCAGTTATCTTTTAGGCATAGTGAGTGAATTCATACAGTGCAAATGTACATGTTCTAGATTGAACAAGATTTACAAAACAAATTCTAGCAATGATTGGCTCTGAGGGACAAAGATATGTTCATATTATGCGCACATATACATGTACACTGTACACATGCATGCCAAATATCCTCCAACCCCCCATTTTTTATGACTGGGATAACAAGGATTATCCTCAAATTTCTTCAACAAAATTTGAGCTACTTCCAACACCGTGTCAAACTGGAAACGGAAAAGTGAGGTTGACCAGAGGCCAAATGACACCTTATTGGATTTAAAGTCAATGGATTTGAGGTTAACGCACCTTCACCCGCAACATATTCTCAGGGGTGTTGAAGACAAGGAGGGCCTTTTGATTGTTATGCTGCACACGTCAACAACACACTGTGATCTCATCTTCAATTTTTTCCCTGAGTCCCCGTGAATCTGATCATTTTAGCATGCAGCCCCAACAAAAAGACTGAAGAGCTAGCAACAACTATGAGAATAACTTGAATAAAACATTACCCTGGCCCCCCTCCCCCCAGATGTTGGGAAGGATCCTTCAGTCAAATTCCAAGAGAATCCAAGAAAAAAGTCTGTTTTTTTCAATTGCTTAATTGCCCGAATGAACAAAATTAAAGGGCATTTTACTTCAACAAAATTTGTACTATTTCCAACTCCAGGCATTTTTATTAAGGAACCTTCCTCAATCATCCAGTGTCAACTATCATAACTACTGCACTAGAGCATTCCTTGAACTTGGATTTCCAAGGGCATCATTTACTAAAATCTTTATCTCAAATTTACTTTAAAGTCCACAAGTCACCATGTGGGTTATCATTCTAATTTACATGTACCATTCCTGTAATTGCCGATTTGGTCACTGTTGATGTGTTTGAAATAAATTAAAATTAAATTAAAATATATGGCAATCTCGAAATTAAAATCTCACTCAACTAAGCTGCTGAAAGAGCTAACACACATGCAGTATTCCTCATATGTGCCTGGCATGACTGAAATGTCTTTTAGCCATTGTCCTTTGTACTTTTGCTATAATGTTTTTGTTAATTGTCACTGTTTGAATCTTCCAACAGGCTACATACAATATTAACATCGGTGACATTATTGTTATTAATATATTCAGAAATCAACCAACTAAACAACAATCGTACACAAAGAAAACAAGATAAGGTTGATTCATTCTGGGATAACCCAAGAAAGCCAATTGAATTACACAGGCTTATTGCCAGTGGGATCCATTATTTTGCCCATTACTGTGAAAACCAAGCACAATTGCCGGCAAACTTAGGGACCTGGCAATTATGGACTATGGACATTAAATGTAAGTTAGTCTTTTGGAGATTGGCGTGCAAATGAAATCGATAGAAATTAATGCGACGCTCTTTCAAAATACAATTAGGCCTACAATTTACAACTGTACAATTACATGTAGGCCATAGGCCTACACTTTACAACTGCACATCTAAGTGCTACAACCCTTCCCACTGATTAACTGAGAAAAATATGACACACAACTGTACAACAACCGTGTCCATGTACTCCCAATGACGATGAAAACGTAAACCAAGACACACGACTCATAACGAGTAAACCCACGGAGGAATAAAACACATACCATTACCACTGCCACACGCGGCCCTGCACGCACTGTGGATCTAGCCTGAATGACAATGACTGAATGAATAGACCACTGGCATGACGCTGGCGGTCCACTGATGTGGAGCTGGAAGTATTTAGGCCTCAGTACAGTCCTTGAAGCTCAAGGTACCGCGTGTTGTTCTTACTTACCAGGCTTTGTGCAACGCACACCATGTCTAGCAGAGGCGACTCAGACTATCCCAATCACTGTCCGAAAGCTCGGTGGTGACGGGAATTATCGGCACCATTTCCACATTCCTTTAGGACCAAGATCCGCGTGTCCCGCAAGAGACTGTATGTATCGTACTGACACAAAACGATTTTTGCGAGAACGGCGTACCTCGCTATCCCGCGTTGCATTGTTTACGTGTGACGTATCGACAAGATACCAGACGCGCCAGCACATGAAGTGTGATGGTTTTCCAAATCTCGGCTTCGTTGTGGTACGGTTGCCACTACGGGCTTCATCCTAACTTCAAAACACCTGATGGTTGGATGGATATTGGGTAGAGTAAATGAACACTGTTTAGTTTTTGAGTCGATATAATATTTTTTTATGCGACTGAAGTAAATTGTGTCCTTTTACTGAGATAAATATCCGCAGGAGCAAGTGGTTAGGAGGTGATACTCAGACGATTCGGTTAGGAACCAAACCGAGATTTCGAAGGTGCGCATGTGGTCAACGAAATGACGTCACGGTATCTGAAGGAATAGATAATGAAAGCTCAAATCTTTACCAATTATTTAGTACTAATAACAGTTTAATAATAGTGCGACAGAAGAGCAAACTTAAATCTTACATACTGTGCAACAGTAATAGAATATACAGCAAACGAAATTCTCCTCATCTTTTAAGTTTTAACAAGGCAAAGTAAATTTTCTGATGGGTGTGAGCGCAGACCACAGCGCCCTCTTTCGGTTGCAGTAGGGTTTAATAATAGAGATCAGTGGAGGACACTCACAATCGGGGGGGGGGGGAGCGGGTTAGCAGGTCAGCGGGTTAGCGTAGCGGTTCTTTCCTCGCTTTGCACCAATGAGGCCCGGATTCGAGTCCCAGCTTGGCCCAGGCTTTAAGTGCATTTGGTTTCCAGTCCATACTCGTTCTCGCAGGTTTTCTCCGGGTACTCCGGTTTCCTCCTCCGTAATGTGAAGCTGATTAATAAGGTTATGAATAAACGAATACCTGAGTGGCTGAAAGCGCCGTTAGAACAGAACAACCACAACACTTGCAATCGTTCTAGTGAGGAAATAAAACGGAGAGTTTTACTGTAGCCCGCAATTCACCCTGCTTTCAGCCCTCGATTCAACGTAGTACGAGTGGTGCATAGTACCCTGAAGTACATACCGTAACCATCATTTTGGGGGGGGGGTCATGGTCATCAAGGAGCCCTGTTTTTTTTTTTACCTCGTGCGCTTGGGGAGAAAGCAAAGACTGCTTTTTTATTTAGTCAAATTTAAAATCCTTTTAGACCAGAAAGCAATAGCTGTAATAATTTCAGAGGGTTTTCCAAAGACAAAAGAGCAAATAGGTGCAGAAGCTAAGAGAAAATGACGTTGAAATTTCTGCCCCAATACATTTTCAATGGGCAGCTCAAGCTTTTTGCCTCCACGTCATTTATGTGCATGCGCACATAATTAGATTTTTGAAAGTGAAGGGTCGAGATTTTTTAAAACTTACAGTGATTACTACATCAAGGCGCGCGAAAGTTAAGTTTCCTCCAAGTCCATGTTCCACACAGCATTCAACCCAGGGTGGCGTCAGATCCCACGAGGGACAACGTCCGTTAAAAAAACAGTTCGTAATAATTTGTAGTAACTTCACCAACGAGCTTTAGTCTATGCATTGGCGCTCGCCCAGCTGCGGACGAGCAGTCGCACACAGCAGAACTGGCAGGTTACCACCGATGAGCTAGTTCGGTATTTCAAAAAGGTCATTCGAGAACAAAGCACATGAACGAGAAGGCGATAAGGTAGACGTTGCGTTCCCGAATGACCTCGGACACAACTTGAAGGCTTCATTTTAGGCACGCGCCATTGAAACACCGAACTGGCTCATCGTAGGGCCTGATTGCAGACAGACCAAAAAGACTACCAAACTAAGTCAGTCTTGTTCATTTTGAGGCCAAAACAAAACTAAGGAGAGTTGGAGAGGCTCGACAACATACACACACACAATGACATGTGCTCACTTTTCAAGGCACAAATTTATTTTAAAAACTCCAATCTTAAATCATCTAATTGATTGGTAAACGTCAGCTATTTATCTGGTTTAACTCTTTAAATTTCTTCACACGTCCCACCTCAAAAGACAAATGATCAGTGTACGTTTATAAACTATCAGTGTTTGTTATACGTCCGATCTGCCCTGCCCAGCAGTGTGAGTACAATTGGCAAAAACGTAGTGTCAGGGTACCACTTTACGTTAAAATTAGCGTTATACACGTATAAACTTGAAGTTCTCAGCATCGTGCATATTGTTATCACAACTACCATGACAGATACCCATCGTCCACCTGCCGCCAGTTATACCAACCAACCAGCAACATCAGTTCCCGCAATGCACGTGATTAGAATGGTAAATGATTAAGTCGTTTGCTTGTATTTAATGTATTATTTTGACCCACGACCCCCTCTCCTTGGAAGGCAACAACATGTAACATATTCAAACATTTAAAATGTCAATTCGTGAAATTAAAGAGACCTTTTAGAGACCTACTGAGTTCATATAACACGTTAATAAAATAACTTGAATACTTCAAAGACATTCATACAAGAAGGTTTAATATACATGTATAATGATGAACAAAAAGGGCAAAAGGATAAAAAGGAATTATAGTCCTGCCTAGAACTATTTTTCCCAGTGTAATGATATTCATATCACGGAGACAACAAAGCAGTAAACATGTCGAAGAGCACACATACTTCGTTGGACAAATTATTTTCCTAAAATAATAATTTATAAACACGCGGCGACAGCGATCTTTGAACACACAATAAAAATTCACGATGTAGTTAGCCCATGGAGGCATCCTTTATTGAAATCGGAAGATGGGGGACTGTTAGGGTTAAGGTACCCTGGCGTATAGTACGAACGGCTTTTCTGCTGTAGTGAACACAGACTTACGGTAAATATCATGAGTTCATGACGTTGGCAAAATTGCAGGAGACTTCCCACTTATGAGTTTTAGTGTTAACGCAAAATGACGCCAACAATTCTGTTTGAATATAGCCTGATCGGGTATTGGTAGTGCGCCGTGGCTATTCCATGTAGCCTTCTGATTTCGATTCCATTTTAATGAAATAAATACACCTTTGGGTACAGAGCCGTCCATACTGAACCCTGATTTTTTTCCTGAGTTTTAACAATGAAAATACTCATGTTATTAAGTACTATGATGTGGAGAAAAACCAGGCACCTTAGCAATGGCCCGCAGCACCATATAAATAGGATGTACACGTACATACGCAAACACAGAATATGCTAGTAAAATGGGCGTGCCACCTAACAACAGCTCAGCTCTATCCCTTTCTGCCACTAGTCTTGTTGCAGTCGTCGAAAGCCTTCAACTGATGCCTCCGTTAGATTCCTTGGTGTATCGCTCTGCCTCAATTCGTTTGTACTTGGTCTTGAACACGAACGCCAGTATCAAGCAGGACACCAGGGCATAACCGCAAAAAATATACAGAGGAACTGGGGAGACACAATTGGTGAAACACAATAGAATGAATGGCTACAACGGAAGATGCTATAACATTACAAACCAAACTACTGTTGAGATGTTTCGTTGAGAAAAAAAAATAATGAGGAATTGATGCAGATCTACTTGAAACAGAGATGTTTTTCTTCCGGCGAAGCATGGCATTCCAGTAAGATGTGGAGTCATGAAAATGTTGTAAATCACTCACTCGACATATCTTGTATATATCTTGGCTCAACATTGGGTTTTCCAGTGGTTGACATCACCCACGTGACGTTATCTGCTGACGTTATTGGTACGTAGGTGCCACGCATAGTCGTCACATTCACTGGAATACATTGCTGAATGGGCTTGTCCTCAGTGTTGAGGGGCTGGGCCAGATACTGACCAATAAGAATCAGAATGATGCCTTGAAATTGGCTGAAACATGAAGTGAAAATGAAGTGATATTGTCAGTATTGTTAACTGGCTTTTTAAAATTTTAATTCTGTGCAGGAACTTTGTGTGGCATTTTGCAAAAACACACCTCTCGAGTGAGAGGTAGCGAATTTTTTTACACTCTTTGGGAAAACCTGCGACTTGGAGAAAGGCTATACATTTAACTGTGGCTCTGAATGATATTTCAACAGAAGCTTCCACGAGGTGTGAAGACTATAGTCTCCTCTCAAGCTCAGGAGTTTGCTGTGCCCGAAATACTTGGGTTTTATGACCACCAATAACAAACATGTTTACGGTAATAGCCACAGGCGTACACAAGCGCGGGTAATTCATACGCAGTTTATGGCCGGGTTCAATTCACAACCTACCCGGATATCTGGAGCAAGCCAGCGCTGGTCCCTTCTGCAACGGGATGGGTGCATTCCACTCCGAGCTCCAGAGCGACAGGAAACAGGGCAAAGCCGAACAGACCAAAGCCTACCCCAAAGACCGCGATGGGAATTCCCATGTTGTCAAAGTGGGTGAACTGCATCAAGGAATGTACACAATCGATACTCGTCATCAGAGGGCAAAAACTTTCGAAGGATTTAACACAGTCTTTCAAAAGAATCTATTTAAACTGAAGCAAGGAAGTTTTAAAGCAATGAAAAGTAAACAGACAAACGATTCAATGATCTGACATCTTGTGAACTTACGTTCATGTCCTAACTCTGAAACAAGAACAGAATCAAACTTTCATGCACTAAGAAGCCAGGTACGTTCGAAGATATAGAGTATATAATTATGATTTCATTCATAATCTAAACCAACTGCCAAAGCCTTAGAAAGCATAGTATTGAGCCGCAACGGGTCACGTGAGCGAAGCCCGAGCATGCCTCTCTTACCACTGACATCACGATGGCGCACAAGACAGCCAGGCTGAAGCATGTTTTGGTGACGGGCGTGAAGGCCCGAGTTCGATCCACGATCAGTCCCGAGATGACGGCACCGATCAACCCAAAGGCAATCATCAAGCCACCGACCAGCCCGGCAAAATCCTGTCAGGGGGTGGGAGCAATTGGATTTCATGACAGCAAACCAAAACTCCGGGCAAACGAATCAGCCACCATGCAGAGAAAGGCACAGTTTGGGAGAGATTTTTTTGTGTGTGGGGGGGGGCCGAGAAAAAGTTAAACAGCTCCAGGACTTTTTAATAGCATTGGAAATCAAGGCAAACTGTGAGCTGTTGCGGCATAATAAGGAAACCTCCCCCAATTTGGACTTTTGAGACATCTACATATGGGCCTTGTACCGATCCCGAAGTCATCCATGTGCGTTAAACCATTACGAGAACACGACGCCAGATCGAGAGAAAGAGGACAGGAAATATCGCCATGCATCTTCGATACCACATATCACGAAAAACGACTTGGATAAATACGACCCGCTGCAAATTTTTATTACATGCAGTTGAAGTGCTGCGTGATATCTGCATAAAGTAGGCTTTTACTCTTTCCATGCAAGTGACAAGAATAAAGTACCGCCTGCTGTGTACCAAAGTTCACTCAGATGTTGACTACATTTGACTCAATCATGGAATTTAAAAACCTAACAACCCAACAGATGTAAATAATGATATTTTGCTGAATGTTTAAAAACAGTGTCTTTCTAGTTACGCTAAAAGAAACCTGTTTGCTGTGACAAGGACATGTTTACCATTCGTATTTTTTTATTTTCCTTAACTTTGATAAGACCCTACCTTAACTTACGTGTCAGGCAAACGGAAATCATTTCTTTCACGGGACGTCAATTTCGCTCGTTTAAACATTTTATTTCAGAGGTGTTGACTCAAGCCTTAACTGCGTCCATTTTATGATACTTACGTCATTGTAGCCTAACGGGCAGACGATTTGTTCCATGAACGTACTCAGGGCATTGAAGAGACCATACCCGCCTCCAAAGGTGAGGAATAAAATCATGAAGGGCACGTTCCGCACACACTTCGGACAAAAAGAGAATGCAGAAGGATAAAAGACAGCATCTTTCTGTTCTCGGCCGATAAGATTAATAAATCTATAATATTCTGGCGGTACTTACTCATTCGGTAAATGAAAGTGACGTGCGTGAGAGCAAGTTTGACATGAGAAAGCTTCAGTGGTCCAGTGAACGGAATTTGCTACGGTATGCGTGTCCATCAGGCATCCATTATATCTCCAGTCTCGAAAAGCCACTCTGCGCGGAAGACAGGCGAGGTAGAACCCGCCCCCCCCAATGAATTCTTTCCTCGATATTAACGAAACTTTCTTCCTTCACCGCCAAGTCGAAGTGAATGAATTAGCTGATGTTTTGTGCACAGTTTAAAACAATTTGAAGAAGCAAATTCAGGTGGAATTTCACATTTTTCGAGCGAGAGATGCTGTTAGAATGTTGATTCCGGGTCTGGTTTACATAACCAATGACAATCATTTTGAAAACTATGTACCGACTGAACAAAAAAGAAAACGGCAGTTATTTCTACGCTTACCCAGTGATATTCAAATCGATCGGGTGGAATCCAACGCTTATTATTTTGGAAAAGAATTTTCTAACATTACATTGGATGGCAAAGAACTTTTTGTAAACACTGATATTTTTTACCTTCTTCATCCCTGCGTAAAACGTTTCATGGTCTCCTGCAGCGCTGGCCGTGGGAGGGGTGGGCGGAGAACTTTGGCGAACTCCCAAAGTGCACATCGCACATGCAACAGCCGCCGGGATAATGTACACCCACAACTGCCAAAAAATAATACTAAGCACTGGCGTAACAACATTAAATAGAATCCCTGGTAGTACGTGAAAGCCTAACTGCCAAGAACTAGCGTCGGGAATTTCCTGAAGTCACTTGCAATGAAGAGAGCTTAATAGGAAAATGAGAGCGAATTTATTATGCAAAATACAACAGTGGGAAGATCTATCCAATGCTGCGATTCAAAGTTTGGGCTGTGGTCAGCAATTATGCACGTTTATCGGATTCGGCTGTTGGTGGCTTCCCGTTATGTTTCCAATCACAGCCAGGTGCAGTGAGAACTCAAAAAAGATCTAATGCCCCCTCCAGTCCCCTTTATAATATGTGATAGATATAGGAGCAGTACACTCGCTGCGAGCGAATTCCCACACCCGCCAAAACTTGCATCCCGTTTCACCAACGTCTATCCACGGGCAGATTGTCTTTAAAAGGTTCCATTTTAACAGATACAAACCATTGTTGGCAAATCGGAAGGCACGGAGACGATGGCCGACGACACCAGGAATGAGATGAGGATCCCCAGGGGGTTGGCCATGGAGCCCAGCGTGTTGGCGATGGCCCGCTGGTTCTCCGGGAACCAGACTGCCGCCAGCTTGGTTGGGGCGAAGAGGAGGAAGGGCTGGGCGAAGGCCGCCAGGCCCTGGCCGCACATGACCACAGCGAAGCGGCCGTCCGCGGGGAGGGTAGACAAGGTGCTGAGGTACCTCAGGATGATGCCTAGAAGGTTGGTCCAAGATCCTATCAGCATCTTGGTTGGGGATTCAAGTGCAAGGTATAAATAACGTGCTTAAGAATCGTTTTGTGAAGTCGTTAATTTCAGAAAGAAATCACTGTCCTAAATTTTACGAATTTCTTATGATGGTGCTATCCGGAAAAGACTCTTTTAACTAGCACTAACTTATTGAGCTAGTTCGGTGTACTCATAGAGATATATGGCTCTAGGGGTGTACTTCAAAAAAGGAGAAGCCATTCGAGACCAAAGCCGTACTGCGTATCGGCGTATGGCCGCGCTGATAGGGCAGACCTCGCGCTCGCGTATGACTGTTCACGAATGACCTCGGACACGCTTTATTAATTTGGGCACGCACTTTTTAAACTGTTGAAATACCAAGTTGGCTCATACACGTCCTGTATCATGTGTCAGCAATGCGTGTGACGAGACGTGCCAACGGGAGAAGCATGATTGTGTAACGACTTCTGGTATCAAGTCTAAATATAGAGTCTTGCGCACTTACCCCTGTTCGGATGCCAAACGTGTCCAGCACCCAACTGGCGATGAAACCGATAGGAACTGTGACTACAAGGTAGATGAGCGACAACCAGTTTACGTCGTCAGGTGACACCTGATAGTACGTCGCCGTAATGTTTGTGATCGCGGCGAAACATATCCATGCCTGGAACAAAAAAAAGGGAAATTTACTGTCTTCCAACGTGAAGAGAGTGACCAAAGTCAAGGGCTCGCTCACTGCAAGTCACAAAAAGCTGTTCGACGACAAGGAAGTGATCGTGATTTTAATTCTCGGTGGAAGGCTTTTTTTTCTGATGGAAGTCAGAAATTTTAGATTTAAAGTACAAAAACTTGTTAAAGCAATTAGGAGGGACGAAAGTACATTTGGTGCTTTCACACGCATTTTGAAGGGAGGAAAATGAAACCAGACCCCCTAGTCCCCCCCTCCGTCCATGGATCCACCCTTGTTCAACAATGGCATTTTGGTGATTCTACTTGAGGACGGCGTGTAACAGATTTCCTGCCATTAGTGTGACTACAGGGGGCGGATCCCCTCAAGGCTCAGAATCTTGAAATGAACTTGAACACAGCCATTACACGTGCGTGGCGCAGTTCATTTCTTTTCAGTGACCACTCAATAAAGGGCACCCCTGAGGCCTCCCCCCCCCCTTTGTACTGCCAGGGCCAGACTGATCATTGTCCAGGAGGCTGGTGACTAGACTTGGAAAACTGACGAAAAAAATTGATTTGGGAAGTTGAGCGGTATGTTTCACCACGACTGACATTAAAATGTTGGCCAAATATTGATCAATAGAGGCGATTCACAAAGTCCACCACCAAGAGTCTGCAATGTGTTGGCCAATCACAGTGTGCGAAATCTGTCGACCCTTTCCAAACGCGCGTTGGGTCGACAAATTTCGTGCACAGTGATTGGTCAACGCGTTGCCAACTCTTAGAGGCGCACTATTGTGAATCGCCCATATTAGCGAGGACATCAAGATCATTAGCCTATAGATATTTTGACCAACCCTTCGTTATATATAGCCTATCGTATTTCCATACGCATTTGAATTCCTGAAACTGAAAATCAGTTCGTCGATTGAGGTCTGCGCTTCACCTGTCATATAGGACAGTACACCAGTCTACTTCTGCGCCTTGTGTTTACACTGACCGTGCCCTAGTTTAGTACCCTGTCTGAACTTTAATCCGCAAACAGGCTTGACCCATGTCACGGTCGTCCATGACCCCGGCTCATTTTGTATACAGCAATAAAGAAAAATGGTGGTTGGACGAGCAGTAACCGGGTGAACATTCCATACACCGTGCAGGTGAGTGAAAAAGTCCAAAATATTTTAGCCACACCATCCCGCGATTCCCAAGCCAACAAATCACGCATTACATGGCTTGACTGCCGGTTTTGTGACTCATGGACTTAACTGAGACTTTTGCAATTATGGAAAAAAGGAGGGAAGCTGTGAGAATGGCTGGCTTCAAGTGTGTGTTTGTAAAGCGCGCTCGTATGAACTTATCAGGCCCTGATATGGTGCAAACGTCAAAAGGGAGTTCAAAATGTTAGGTAGGCTTGCGGTTGCACCATGTTCAGGGAAAGTTTTTTACGAGTGTGTGGTTCTGAGAAGAACCAGTGGTTGAAGAAGTCAGGGGTAGGGCTGCTGATTTTATTTGGACAGTGTTGGAGGGAAATGGCTCAAGAACGGCATCATTGGATAACCTCTAGGATAAGGTAGTTCTTTCCTCGCCTTCCACCTCATGGTCCCGGGTTCGATCCCCGGCCCGGTCCACATGTGGATTGGGTTTTCAGTCCCTACCTGACACCTCAGCTTTTGCCCAGAATATTCCTCTGGGGTTTTCCTCCCACCTCTAAAAACTGTAACTGCTTCTTACTATCTCCCCTTTACTGATGCTGGTGAACGTGGGTCGTTTGGCGGCTGCCCGAGGCGCCGCTTGTATACCATCGGCTCAACCATGTTTAAATGTATTCATTGTTCCACGCTTAATGTCTTCATTGTACAGCGCATTTGAACATATCTTTATGAAATGTGCACTTTATAAATGAATAAATTATTATCATTATTATTACTATACTGATCAGAAACTGAAAATGTTGTAAACTAACCTGGAATTAACGCGTGCCTCAAACGTTTAATTGATATGTTTCATGCGGAATAATATTCCTATGGTGTGGAGGTTGTTGTCATTGTTGTCTTGTAGTAGTACATGGGACTGAATTTATTGTTCTGGAAGGCAGAGCTCACAGCTTGCTACGCGAATGTAGTCCCGGTGGTTGTTCTCTCTCTCTTTGTTTTCTTACATGGAAGAAGAAAGCATTTTTCTTAGAATCGGTGACTCCGACCTGTCAACCCCTTCCCTCATTCTTCTTAGGAAGATAACTAAGTCCACAAACCGTTCTATTCTTTGCTTTCAAACTTGATCCAGAAATTCTAGAAGCCCAGGACAGCCATCCTTCTGAGCAGTCTATCACACGCTAACCTTTAACCCTCTTGAGCTTTGTTATTTTGGACCATCTCACAGACCTTGGGGGTGGGTGGGTGCTAGATTCCGCTCCCTTCCCCAAGAACTCGGCTGTCCAAGACCTGACACTTTGAAAATTTGGCACGCATGCATAATGACACGCATCAACGGCGATAGAAAAGGCAAGATTAACTTCAATCTGAAAAAATTATGATTTTGTCGTTACTGTCAATTGAAGTTGAAGACCACAAGCGTGCCAGCCCCTGTTAGGCTAATGGGCACGGTCGTGCATACATACATGTATACATTATTGGCGAATGGCAGACCGTCGGAACAGGTAAAACGGCATTAATTCAGTAAGCGTTAAGAAAAATGATACAGCAATTCAAACAATTTATAATGATTCTCTGCACGTATGAAACTACCCCACTCTTCCACATTGATAATAACAATAAATTATATACAGAGCTACAAACAAAGCGCTTTCCATTATTAGTACCCCTACGAATTGGGCCCATTAACGGGGCAAAAGTGTATTTCGAGGCAGAAGCTGATGCCAACCAGGGATGAAGTTTTTTGCAAGGTTTGGGTCGCCCGTGCAAAAATGGCAAAACGTTCACAGAACATGCGGTAGGGGCCTAATGTGTGTTCGCGATGTCGTAACGCGCTTTTCATGGCCCATTTGTACATAGTACAAATTACAACGCGTGCGTTTTATTACCCAAAAGGGTGCAATCCTGGACAGGTATAAATCTGTAAACCCGCGAGTCCGACTTTAGGAATCACAAGAAGCCTCAAAATTGCCGCCGACTTTCAAAGTACATGTACCTGGCGATGCTAGTTGTACGCCCATTCAACTACAAAACACGACTCTTTATTGATTGATTTGACAGAATGGAGGACTTCTTTGCTTTTTTTACGCAGCTCAAAAGCTTTTCAGACGACTGACGGTGCATGCATGACGAGTTCGAACTGAACTTTGTATATCTGCAAAGCAGCAACATTGTCAGCTATGATCTTTTTGAGTCAGCGGTATCCTGAATACAATGCACATTTGCTTAAATAAGAGGAATCTTCAGTTCAGCAAGAGATAATGTGCAAGCCTAGTGATCACGAGTGCCACAGCACGATTACAAGGTTGGTACAACAAATTTCTGTTTTCTCCAATATACATCCGGGTGCTTCTAGTCAAGTGCAGGTGCGCGCCACGGATCATGCATGCGTGTATGAACCGAGGAACAACACTGGGGTCGTTTCAACATAACAGCCCCGTGTAGTGTGCTGACAAGTGGGTGTACATTTTGGTCGAGTTTGAAGAAGTTTTGCAAAATTTACATTAATTGTTTTCCATAACACAGAAATGAATGTTCCTGTTTAAACAGAAAAGAATTCAGCCCAGTTATCAAAACTTTCAAATAACGTACGTGTACATGTACACGAACGCCACCATGTTGCATGTTGCTTCTCACTAACTACCAGCGATAACCAGTTGTACGTTCCCGGCGTTCGAGCGGCCAACCCACGAACAACAAATCAAGCTGTTCGTGAACAAAGAAGAACAGGCCGCCCGAATTCAGCCATCGTGTGGAGTATACTGGCGCCATTTTTCGGACCCCTTTATTGTGCTGCATAGCGAAATGCAGTGCACGTAAATTATACATTTATTCACGATGATGCTCGGCCAGGATATCTCACGGCGCCAGATGAGATGGTGTATATTCTCATCTCCACTCAGAAAATGAGCGCTGAATCAATTAATGTTTAAGCATGCTTCTATGAACTTATATGTAGGTGACTCAGGAAACCAACAAAAACCAAAGAATTCATTCCACAAACCCATGGTATAGGATTAACACTTTGAGATGACAAATGAAACGCATACAGTGGTTGAGAGAACGTGTATTATGGGGTCATTCTATAAATGCAGTTTCCAAAAGTGTGATCACTTAAACTGAATATCAAGTACTGTTATTTTTGTTTGGCAGGAAACTTGCATTACCCTTGGAAATCAAAGAATCAGTTCTAAACTTACAAAAATTATGTCAGATGTGAAGGAACTAAAAAAAATGGACCTAAATTTATAGCATGACCCATAAATAGCTGAGTTACTCTGTGTGCTTTACGCAACGAATATCAAGTGACGTTTTACAAAACGAAAAAAGGCATTTTAATAGTTCCAGCAAAGTGTTCATTCACAATGCCCATACACTGCACATAGTGATAAGTTGATAATTGGATTTTGAAATGATCAATCCAACCTGCCGGTTTCATGCCGATACACTGCACATAGTGATAAGTTGATAATTGGATTTTGAAATGATCAATCCAACCTTCCGGTTTCCTAACGGACTTCATGTACACTTGTGAGCAAGGAAGTGTTGGGGGTCAACTGCTCAATGATTACCAAGTTCAATTCAAATCGCGGCCTCGCTTTTTCCTTTTGAGCAGGCTTAAAGCTGTGTAGTCACTGGCCTTTTTCGATCTGGTGGTCAGTTTGACGCGGATGGACGGAGGCAAAGCTAACCTACATGGTGAGCAAGTGAAAGCACCAATACCTCCATACGACAACCAGGGGAAACAGCGTACTGCCCAAGACCAGAACGACTCGATTTCTATCCAGTGCACTTTTGAACTCGTATGACGCCCCCATCAGCAGTTAAAGCCCCGCCCTTTGACGGGGGATGGGGTCTCGTGGTCGCTGTGGCGGCCCATGCTGTACTGGTGCTGGCGATGGGCATGTATCGCTGTAGCGGTGTCTTCTTCACCAGCTGGTTGCACGAGTTCGAGGCCAGCGCCCTGTCTACCGGGGCCATCGGCAGCATCATTGGGTCATGTGCGTTTTTTGCATGTAAGTTACCCCTTGTCTCCAGCTGTGTAATGGTGCGACTGTTCATTTGGGGTTTAAAACGCACAGGTTTACTGAGCGATACCGGTACATGTACATCATATTTGCTATATCTATTCCACCACAAAAATACCTCACTTTTCAGCATGCATGAGTCAGAATAACGGATGATAACATAATGCACATCAATCCAATAGAGAGCTTCAAAGGCAAACATGGTGCATCTCTTTCTTTCGATTGGGTACTGGAGAGAAATCAGAACTACACCCTAATCTCTCCAAATGCTTTCTCCAGCTCCTCTGGCGGCTTTTGTGTGCGATCGCTATGGCTGCCGTTTCGCTGGGATTCTGGGCGGCATGGTAACAGTCGTCGGCCTGTTTGCAAGCTGCTGGGTGCGCACTATTTATCAGATGTACGTAGCGGGCGCAATCACAGGTACAGTAAGGTCGTTTTTTGAAGAATTCCAGACATGAAAGGATTAGATCACGAGCAAGTCGACCGTGAGCCTTTGGTTGAAAGTGGTGGACCCGTATAGATCGAGGTTTTGCATGGCTTCCCTTTTGTAGGCCAGTGCCCTGCAAGATGGCTACCATGTAAAGCCTGTACACTGTGGCTTCCGCGGTCACAATAGGAAAGCCATTCCATGGCTTCACATGACCTCTCGGGTTTCCTGCTGGCCAAGCCGGCCCGGGCAAGCAGAACGATGACCTAAATTTGAACTGAATAAACTGGTTTTGGACTTCATCGAATTCTTACCAAGCGCTTGCAGAAAATAATGGATGAAAAGACTTGTATCCTTAATTTTCTTCCTCCAGGGTGTGGTACTTCGTTTGCGGTCATGACGGCCGTCGTTGTCGTCAATGAATACTTCAAGAAGTACTTCGCGATTGCCAACGGTTTCGTCATGTCGGGTGTCGGCGTGGGCATGGTCGTGCAGCCCCTGCTGCTGAGGTTGCTGCTTGATGGCTACGGTTGGCGAGGAGCACTGATGATTCTAGCCGGTCTCAGCGCTAATCTCTGCGTCGCTGGAGCGCTGTTCCGGCCTCTCAAGCTGCAGTGGGGACGAACGGAGAGTAAACGAGGTGAAGACTTGGAACTGCAACGCGGGGAGGACGAGCAGACGAATGCTACGATGCTGTCATCCAACGAAGACAACCCTCGTTCCGTCCAAGACGGCGACGAGAGGGCGTACCGTGGCTGTCTGTCGAAAGTTTTATCTGCGCTAGGATTCGATTTGTTACTGAAGAATAGCAGATTCGCGCTCTATTGTATCATCCAGACGGAGGTGAACATCTCGTACCTTGCGTATATCGTCTTTATCGTTCCCCGCTCTGAGAGCATCGACGCGGAAGGTGCAAGTGCTGCCTCCCTGGTGAGCATCATCGGGTTCGGCAGCCTGTTCGGGCGGTTGATGAGCGGCTGCCTTATCAACCGTAAGCTGACGGCCGAGGATGTCTATGTCGGCTCCACGCTCATCTGCTTCGTCGGGGTCCTGAGCGCGCAGTTGGACACCTACGCGGCCTTTGCCGTTTCGGCAGCTCTGGTGGGGTTGGGTACTGGCTTAATGAAGGCAGCTCACAACGTCTTGGTGCGGGACTTTGTCGGGGTGACGAGGTTTGGCCGTGGACTTGGAATGACTGACATCTTCCGGGGTACTGGTGACTTACTTGGCCCCATAATAGCAGGTAGGGCAACGCAATACTTTCTTCCTTAACTTTAAATTCTTCAGTTCTATAATCGGCGCAGTACTGACCCGGAAAACCCAAGCTCAAGCGTGTCAATGGAAGACTTTGAGACACTTAATGACGACAAACATACCGGTCCTTTTTACCAGTTCTGAGCAGGCGTGCGTAGTTCTGAGTACGTGCGATACCTTGAAAAAGCCGACATATCTGCCGCCACCAGCATCTCAAAGTTTCCCATTGAGAGTAAATATAGTGTTGGCATGAAATACGCAAAGAGCCAATGTCCATTTAGAAATCAGTCTTCTAAGGCAGACAGTTTTGTTCTTACACTCGCACACCCTTTGAACACAACGAACGGAATGATATTAACAACTTCATGCTGTCTGTCTCGATATTGTCTCACTAGGTCAGCTGTATGACGTCACGGGGAGTTACGCTGCAATATTCTACGTCCTCGCTGCAATCCTCTTGCTAATCCCCTTTCAAATGGTGGTTCTCATGCCCATTCTGAAGAGGCTGAACCGTGCTAGCTGTAGTTGCTTCGACTGAACCCTAGACACGATGGAAAGATTACAACAGAACCCATAATCTGTTATGGCTCAACAACACCGGTTGTTTACCCGTGGGTACCAGTTTACCTGTTGGTACCCGTTTACCTATTTCTCAGTTTCTCAAACCCCTAAACTCCTGTTTGTGCTCACCGTGTGTGAAATGTGTTGGCCTTGTATGGAGATGATGGTGCAGTGATCGAACAGGTGTTTTTTTTAACTGGAAAGGATGATATTTGGACGGATTTCGCATAATCTCCATCAATGTTATGACTCCCTCGGTTCATTTTAAAATGAACGCCTATACATGAATATCGGGTATAATTACGTTTATTTTTAAAAGCGAGTATTTAAAGAGTATTTAAAAGCGCTGTCCTTGGACGATTTGTGAATGACGCTTTATGCATATTCGAAATAATCGAGATTTATGTATAATTGTGTAAAAACGTTGAAATATTTGTACGAAGTCTCCAAGTGCCTTTCTTGTTGCGCGGTGCCATGCCGTGCGTTACCAGCGAAGATGTCGACCGTCGAGCCCCTTAGAGCGAAACGAAACACTCCTTTTGTGCATTGTATTGCATGTCCGAGGTTATTGGAGCTAAAGATTTCTGGACGTAAAACTATGACAAAGTTTCGTGTTTTTATGCTTTGTTCTTAAGTGTACGAGAAGTGAAAATTTAGTAAGCGGATGGTCTCCCCGTGAAATAGAAAAATGCGACATTTGAGGGAATTCAGAAATGATAATATGGAGTGTGACAAGAAAACTTTTTTTTTCTTTCTTTTTTTTGGAGGACAAAATCAGACATCTTAAAACTTACAGTTTTGGAATAAAGTGCTGGATATCAAGTTTCTTTTTTGGGATTAAGTGGGTTAATTTATCCATTTTAAGGTGTATGGGTTCTCTTTTGTCGTAGCGGTGATTCGGTTTTTTATTAAATAACACAGAAAGAGGTCTTAAATGACAATCATTGAAGAGATTTATGGCGTCCTCTTCTTTAAAAATTAAACGTTGCGGAAATTCTGTAATAAGCTTAGGCCGTGTCCGAAACGGGCTTCCAGAGCTACGGCTAGCTCTATTGTCTGCGTGTTTCCACGCATTTCCAATCCAGTGAAGACCTAGACCTAGCTCTAGACAAGAGATTCGGATGCAACCTTAGACTTATAATTCACATTGAGCACAAGCACGCCCTCTTCGCTTGAAAAGAGCCATGTCGGTCGGGAGTGCTCATTTTTTGTTGCAGCTACGCGACCCTAATAACGCATGCATTTCACAGATGTTTGTGCAGTTTCTACCAAAGGAACCTCGGTTGCTAAGAAAATTGCGCCCTCTCTTGGTGGCGCTCGGGGCTCATGGTTTCAGGAAGATCGTGTTGTATAGTTTCATGCAGTATTCATCACACGATTTTAAAAACGCTTAACAAAAGAAAAAAGGAAGAAGAAATATGTCTGTAACAACATTTTTAAAGGCTGGGGCGAAACAGTTGCCATAGCAACAGGCCGGTGCATCAGAAAACCGAAACCCACAAACGAGACAGAGCGTGTCTGCACATAACACTAACTGGCCTCCGGCATGACTTAATACATTACCGTTAGATATCAATGTGTAACTAGCAAGAAGGCCGAACCATTGTTAGTCAATTTATCGTCGATCTGTCGTCTGGTGCAGTGATGCCTCTCAGTCAGGAGCAAGCTAACTCACCTGTCTCGAAATCATTAACATAATTTGTCGTCCGTCTCATGCCTATTATAAATTCTGATTTTCAAGGCAAGAAAGAATCATGATGATTATTTACAACCGAAAGAGACATTCTCGGGTAGGAGAGGGCGGCTCACAAACTGCCACTTAACAAAATGCTGGTGTTTTACATTCACAAGCACTTGCGTCAAAGAACACATCAGTTCCCATCTCCGCACTGTTCTCTTATGAATAACACGAAAAGGGAAAGGTTTAATAATGATTTATTCCACTGTCATGGATGTGATTATTCAGCAGATATCAATATGGAAGACGGGGTAACATATTCGTTCTTAAATTATTACTACGTATTTTTCGCATCATTTGTGCTTCCCCTAAAATTAGGGCTAAAATAAAGATGTGGGCTTACTACGATTTCAGGACCTTGACTTTTCCCAACATATTGGGAAAAATAATAAAAAAGTGAAAAAGGCACCAAAAGTTTAAGTAAAAGTGTCAGAATTTCACCAATCGCTGAGAGAAGCCCAGAAATGCGAAATTGATGGTCTAATTAATTGGCCAACAGCATGTACATGTATTCCTGAAATTCCAAAGAGGTTATGTGTTAATAATGCGGAGATGGAGGGCCAAGGCTTTGTATCACTATAGGATAGGCTCCAGTAAACCTTTTGTGTTTTCACTGTAACGAAAATATTGGAACAAATAAAAACAACCTCAAAGGCACGAGCAGTGCATAACCTGATTGCATATCATTTCTGACTACATGCATAGGGGCATATCCGGGGTTTATCGTGAGTCCAAAACTGACTGTCACCTTGAAAAGTAGAACTTGCTAGAGCTGTTTATGGAGAGAGTTGCGACATGAGTTTCTCAATTGTTGGAACCAAAATGGTGGATTATGTGTCAATGCACATGCGCAATTAGCACACAAGATTAAAAATAGCTGCAGGTTGTACTGAACAGATACTTAACAACCATTTTGGATCCTGTAAGTGTAAACCTGGCGCTACTCTCCCTTAAAAACATCTCTGGGACTTGCGCGAGTAGGGTGTACTTTCCACATGCGCGTCAACACTTGCTCCAATGTTCGCATCCGTCAAAATCGCTCCCGGGGGGGGGTTAGACGCCCGAACGCAACGAACATGTGTTCTGTCCGTGAAAGTGAAACGCACAAAGCCCAAAGCGTGCATATTAATGGAGGCACCTGTAGTCAGTCATGCGATGGCGATACCCATCTGCACCTCCCGTGATGTATGATACTCACCATGGCATTAGAGAAGTTCAAAGCCGACAAGGTGGCCAACACCCACCATCTCGTCTTGTACAACCTGTAGCTTTTTGTGCCTCCGTCCACCAGTTCCTCGCTGACACCATGCGTCGGGGAGTCACGAGGCACAATACATTCCTCGTTGGAGGGAGAAACATCCATGGCTATCCTATCATCTGCCATGTTGTAACCGCTGACAGAGACGCGCGACCTGGGCGTGTGTGTGTGTGTGCCTGTTTACACTGTAGTACGCACGGGAAAACAGGGTTTAGTTTCCCGACACACGTAAAAAACCAACAGCCACCCACGGGCAAAAACCGGTCATCGAAACCCTGTGTACATGTACAATGCAGTCGGGCCCACGTGTACAAATTTTCTAGCGGTCATGATTACCCATCGTCGTGGTCACGTCATGGAAACGAGCATTTTTGAATGACATAAAGAATGCAGGGCTTCCGACAGTGCAATCCAGGTCTCGACGATGGTGTGTCATATCTAGCGGAGGCCGCGTCCTCACCGCACGAATTTCAATCTTTGTAACGAGTGAATAGACCCGATCGAGGTCGCATGGGCCATTCTATTTTGCAATTTCATTCATTCATGAACTCGCTATGAATATTCATGCCATCACAATGGCCTCTGTATAACTGCATGGTGATACGAGGGTCCGTGAAGGCGGATGCATTTGTTAAAATTAATTGCAGCGTAGCGGTTACCGAAGTAATAGTTAGGTAGGCTTGCGGTTGGAACTACAAGAAAATATCTCTTATGAGTGTGTGGTTCTGAGTAGAACCGAAATAATTATTATGCTATAAGAAACTAAGATTTATACAGAAGGAAAACAGAACACATGACACTAAGAGAGCCATGATGACCGGATTTGAATTGCCAAAGAACAGCAGCATGGCAGTGGGTGACATGCATGTATTATGTATGAATGAATTTACACATATTTAAAGTAACGTGTGTATGATAGGTTTGATGCTCAGCATGCATGGTTTCAGTTTAACCAATTTCCTACCCTAATAATTCGCCAATGTCCATTTTTGCTGATTTTTGAAATTAATGGCAGTATAAAAGACAACTGTCGTCGGTAGTACTGTATTAAACAGCCCGGTTTTAGATATCTACAATTGTGTTACGTCACGGTGCTGCGGGAAGTTATTCGGATCATCCGATAAACGCCATCACTCCCGTGGCACCTCAATTTCAAATTTTAGTTTTCTGATTCTGAAGTATACACAAGAATAACTAGATACTACAATGGAATTAATATAGCTTGACGTTTTATAAACGCACTAATGTAACTTCATTTCAGATAATAAACGAGAAAGTATAGACGCTTGACCGTGACAAGCACGATAGCTATAAGTTGGGGAGTCCGGTTAGCGTGGTGTTATATTCCTAGCCTTCTAACCCTGCCATCTGGGTTCATATCCCCCCTGGCCGACATGTGAATTGGGTTCTTAGTCCCTGTCTAATTCCGCAAGATTTTCCTGGCATGGAATATCATTTCAGGGTTTCCCTCCTGCTTCTGAAAATGACCAACAAGAAGTAATACACTGCAGTATTGCTGCAATAAAATATATCGAAAAGAAAAGGAAAATTGGTGAAAATAATTTGCCGTGTAGGTGCCCCTTATGCCAATTAATGGCCATGTCGTAAGTGCATGCCTAGGACAAAAATGACTGTAAGTTGGCATCGTGAACTGATTTGGCAACGAGATGGCAATTGATGTATAACGACTCCATGAATGATTATGGAGGCAATGCATTATTGCTTATCTGCCTCGCAATTCCAAGCCTTGACAGAAACCATCCAAACATGTCAGCAAGCTCATTATTAATGGCTCCGTGTGAATGAACATGTCATGCGATTGCTTACATATTCAAATTTTTGAAATTACATTTTACTCACGCGAATCCTCGTAGCAGTTGCTGAGAGCGGTACGTGGATACCAACTGGCCGGCTGACCCCGCAGGGTCGGTGAAACTGTGTACTGCAGAAAGTCATGGGTTGAGTTTTGAGCGATTTTTCCTTGAAAGCTCAGAGAAAGTGATGATTACGCATCTTTGTTGACAAGAAAACAAAGGAAAACTTGAGCTGCCTTAGCTTGGTCGAGGTAAACAAGCTCATTATGAACGGCACTCGACTGGTTGTGATTGTTCCAATTGACGTGATTCAGTGAGCTAGAAGGACCCACTGTTCCCTTGTGTTTCTAAAACGTTTGGCTGGTGGGTTTTCTTTTTTATACAAACCATGGCATATTTTTCCTTTCAGGAGGAGGAGGAAGAGTAACACACTTATGACAAAATAAGTCCCGTCAGTATGGGGAAATTATTTGTCTAAACGGTATAGCATCTGGGAATGACCCTAGGGCTTATAGACCTCGAGCCTTGACCAAGAGAGGGCGCATTTTTTTTAGCAACCAAGGTTTCTTTGACAACTTCTGGACTTCGCTGTTTCACGAACAACTATGAAATGCTCGCGTTACGGTCACATTGCTACCAACAAAATAAACACTCCCGACCATAATGGCCTTTTCCAACCGATGAGGGAGTGTTTCTCCTCGAGGTGGATAACCCGTGCGATTTGGGCCACAGCAGGATTTGCTTGGCTGCCATCTTTTAGGCCAGTACTTTGTTCCGCAGAGTATGCACAAAAGAGGTTTCCCTACCCGGTATGATGGCAACCACGCAAAGCCAACTGAGACTGTATACACATGTAGACCTTTCTGAAGAGCTTAATCTGTACCTCAAAGTCGAATCGAATTTTGCAAACAAGTACATGTACTAGCTACCCCCTGCGAATAAAATTGGCTACTCTTTAGAAATGATATTCACCGTTTCGCCATCTGCCAAACCAACCCGGATATTCCTCTCCGGTGAACAACTCAGTTTAGTTTATGGCTTTTTCATTGTTGATTTAGCTGCTTTACCAAACTGACTCATCGGGGTCGATCTTTTCGATGTAGTCCGTCTCCGTGATTCAAAACAACAAGAAAATGCGTCTGATCCGACATAATTATAGCAAGATGCCGAACACAGCGACTAATCCGCGGCTCGTCGACGCGGATTAGGATGCTGTGCTTTGAAGTTTGTCATTGGGAGGGTGGGGTTATTTGGAGGCCGACAAAAGCCGGCATTCAGCGATGAGCTGGTGCCGTTTTCAGAATTAATAAGGCTTGGCTGAAATTCGTAACTGACGCCATGTACCGCTCGTTCACAGTCGCCGAGTTCCCCGGCCCTCCTTTGTCCTGTGCCTGTGCCAATCCAACTGTACAACTTCTTCGTCCCTAGACGGTCGGGCTTGCCATTAACGTAGATTTGCCTTTTTAATGCAAAATCTCGTGGACCTGCATCGGCAAAAAGGCAACGAGAAACATGATCAAAGAAGCATCCCCTTGGATCTTGAATTGTACCTTGTCGTAACCTCCGAATGGTCCCCAGGGACTATACTGGAAGTTAACGAGAGTGGCACGTGGTGTTGTTGCTCTGAAGCAGCTCCAACTAAATTCAATTGTCATTTCTGCGGATCGCAGGATTTGCAACTCTCATTTCCGTGGCCCTGCTCTGGTTATATGGCCGACTTTTGCCGTCACGGTGGTAGTAAGTCTTGAGAGTCGGAAACACAGAATGTGACGTGGAAGGGAAAAAAGAAATTCGATCAATAATCGTCTTGCTTCTCTGGGCTTAGCCAAAACTGTCAATTTTATTCATCCGGATAATGCATGACGTTATGAGAAAGGAGCCAGAATTAAACCTATACGTGCAGTAAATGACGAAGTTCCATGGGTCACTATAGCAACCAAGTATGCGTACGATATAGTTAGTGGAAAAGTGAATTGATGTCATTTGTCCCTTGATCCGACATGCAATATTATCGATTTAAAGTTAAGCTCAACTGTACACATGTCAGTTCAGGAATGGATTTCCCCGGGCCATGCTCAGGACACCCGCAAGGAAGGGGAGAGGGGGGGAGCGTTGATGCTATTGGCCCGGCATGTTGATTCAGCCGTGACAAGAAGACAATCGATTGGCGGAGCTTAATCGCTGGGGTTGTATCTGCCGCTGACAAAAGGGGGATTTAGGGCTTCTGTGGGCGCAACAATGTACCGGGTCTTAATTTGACTCCGTGGTTCTGTTTCTAGCCGCACTTAACAACGTGCTGGAGAAACTCCAACGGCTGGTTGTTTCCCCCATGCTAGACGCACAAAATAAATGCATCTTTGAGCAGACTTTCGTGGGACTTTCTTGGAAACGATCAACCCAATGCTATGGTGAAGACATTCAGTGTCCTATTTGCCCAAAGTGTTTTGTTTAAAAAGGGGATCTGATCTGGAAAAACAAGTACGAGTTCTGTATGTAAACACTACAAAGGATTAGCAGACTCCTTGCTTGCTTGAAATTGATGCCAGTCCGTTCCAGTCGTTCTTGGATATACTCCCAGTTCATGGAATAAGGCCAACAAGATGTCATTTCACAAGAAGCCTGCGGCACCGGCACTTTCCCTGAAGCAGTCCAGCGCGTACGGCAAACTGCCCAGCGACGCCATCGTGGGGATTGACCGCCGGGATCTCCCGCCGAGTCTACGGCGCAGCAACAACACCGTCCTCGGCTCGTCGGGCAGCTCGCAGGGCAGAGGCCGTACCGTGCCGTCCTACATGCAGGGCACTCAGACTTCGCAGAGGAGGGACATCGGCTTGAACGTCCGGCGGCTGGCGAAAACATCCTCCAAGATGGAACAGGATGAGACCGAGCTCAAGGGATACGGCGCCCCGGCGAAGCTACCATCACTCTACGAGCAGGCCCAGCTGAACCCCAAGCCTGTCCCTGTCCCCGAGCCATCAGAGCCCCAGCCCGTATTACCCCAACAGAGCACCCCAACCACCCCACCCTTCGCACCCCTCCAGCTGGCCAAATCCAGAGAGGCGACAGCTAGAGAAGTCCAACAAATAACCAAGACTTGCCGCTATGTAAGACGCAAGGGCAGTCTGATCGATCCGCCATCTTACTACTATAAACGATGAAACCCGCCGTCTTGGAAAAAAGCAAGCTTTGTTCCAAATTTATCTTTAGGAGGAAAGATGAACTTATTTTAAATGCAGTCACATCTTCAGAAAATCATGTCTGAAAATTGTGTCAAAGCCGACGGGATAACCAACCTCTTCACACTCTACTGTCCTGAAACATATTACCAGTTTGGAATTAAAGAACAAAATGACAATTCTAACAAAACCTTGCAGGAATTTATATCCACCTGAGTCATGTTTCTGACTTTTAGCATAGTTAAATGTACATGTGTATTACATGTAATCTCTGAGTTGGTGTATTTTTGGGTAAATATTGTGTTAATTCTGTTAACTATATTCACGGGTAGTTATTAGGTAAATCAGGATAAAAACGGATTTGCTTTTCTTTGACTTCACCCTGTGTATATTTTGTCTTTAAAAAACCTAACAACTTCGCAAGTGGACCTCGGATTTCTCTATGACAAAAAAAGCTGACTCGTCAAAGTTCGTTTGTAAAGTAGCACTTTGCAATTTGGTATTGACTGTAAATTTAACAAGATAACAATGCAGTTGATTCCTTTTTTACAAAATAGGATGGAAGTCTTTTGTATCAAATTATGTCATCTGTACTGGATTCATGAAAAAAAATGCAATGTGATCATCTAAAATTATCGTGCAAAAGTTACTGCCCTCAGAAGCTGCTCAGGTCTAGTCTTTAACAGGAAATTGTGT